ATATTCGAGAGGTTTGAGACTTTTCGCGTTGTTTATTTCGCAATTCTCGCGAGTTGCGAGCGTTACAGAAGAGTCGAAGCAACAAACACGGGAAACAGTGGTAATCTACGAGAGATGTCATCGGTGCCATTTTAGCCGGCGTGGAACACTTAAAAGTTGAAAAATAAGGGACGTATATTTCTCACTTAAGGCGAGGCACGCTTAAACCAGCCATCTGGAAACTCGATGGAACAGGACAGCGATGTAAGGCGCTTCTTACACGGGAGAACAGGGTCCAGCTACGGAGGAGGAGCCACTTAAAGCGTTGGCCCCGGCAGCGTTAAATATTTGATCAGAATTCGATTGCTTTAAGACGTCAGTCTGCGAGCTGGGGCGCGGCGGGCTAGCACGCGGGTGGAAAAGAAACGGGAAGAGAGCGAAGTGGTTGACGTAAGGGCGGATAGTTAGCAAAGGGACGAGAGCTATTCCCCGGAGCCGGAACGATGTCCGAATCGGGCAGCTGTCCCAGTCACAGCGTTCTTTCGCCGCCTGCGTCGATGCCACGACACGAGTCCGCTTTAAAATCCGTCCCCCGTCCCACCCGGTGAAAGCAGCTCGGAGAATGGCGGCAGCATCGTTGGATCCCCTTTGGAAATAAAGCCAATTCGTTAGGTTTCTCGGGCTGGATCCGCGTTCAGTAGAATGTCACCGTCGATGGTCAGACAATGGCCCGCGCCATGGCTCCTCGCTGGTTAAATAAGAGTTCTCGGGATTCTTGTCGGGGCTAACAAATTTTCTATATTTGCTATTCATATTTTGGAATATTTCAAAATTCTTTTCATTATTCCTCGACCTTTCCAAGACTCCAAACAATTTTACTGGAGACAAAGTTCACTACACAATGCTAAAGCGAAATGACAAAAATTAGTATACCCTTATCTTTTATTGAAAATTATATTTCTATTGCAGGTTACAAGAGTGCTAGAAATATTATATTTTAAAAACCATATGAAAGGTATATCTATGTTTTATATATTTCCAATATTACGAATATCGCGAAATGTATAATTTGTTTGAAGATTGGGAAGTTTTTGGATGTCTCGGGTATGGTATAATATTATTGTGGAAAAGTAGAGTTTTATGGATATAAATTGCACGGAATCTGTTCGCGTTGTTCCACGGTCACGCAGCGCCTTCATTCAGCATTTAAGGAGGGAAACGGGAAGCGTCTGAGTCGCAAAACTCACGCGAATCCACGTGGTGCCAAGTGGGGTGCATTAGCCAAGTTCCCCATTATCCACGCGTGAGAGACCCCTAAATTATCCGGCATTCGCCTAGCCCCGACCTCCCCGCCCTGGAACGTCGGCGAGAAAAAGATGTACGAGTTCCTTTCGCGAGAACACCCTTCGCGGGTGTTCCACCAGTGTAGGTGCGACGAAGATCACTCCCAGTCGTTGGTACACAAAGGCGAACCAGCTGATCTCGTTTGTAATTTAAAAATTCTCTGAAAATCTCTGAACTCCGATATTTTGCGATCGTTTGGGCATAAATCTGGAGACAGACTTAACCCCGAATACCGCTAAGAGTACCGTGATCCTGCCGTGGTTTATCTAATTGGAATTGTCGAGAGCTCGAAGAAGGACGCCAGAAGCGACGAGGAGCAACGACGAAAGATGAGGAGAGAGTGAGCGAGACTAAGGAAGCGGGCATGAAGAGGGAAAGTGTAAGAGAGAGAGAAGGAGAGGGTACTTGAAGAACCATCGGCAAGACGAAGGGGGTGTGTAAGTTTGGGCTATCTCTGAGAGCACAGTTCCAAGAAGGCTCCTTTAGACTCTAGTGACGTGACGTCGCCTAATACTCTAATCCCTTCAGTGGAGGCACCATCGTCCGCTCTGCAGCCTCGTGTTCCTGGGTAACCATCTCCTCCGCTACGAACGGCACTTGCTAATTAATTGACGAGTACGGATTTTGAGGTGTCGAGAATCTTCATGTCTGTAGAGAGGGAGGACTGTTATCAGTCGGCGCAGGCTGAGCAGCAAGCGCGTACCACTTGGACCAAGTACTCTCAGTGTACGTTCATTTTTAAAGTACCTTTCTCGAAGAAACTACATATCTTTCGCTAATCACAGAGACCATTTGTGTCTATTACGACGAACGAAACGTGGGTAATAGATACGGTATCAAATCATGCTTGGTCTACGTTTAATCGTAGATTACATAGACTCCTAGGCAGATTATGGTAAATTCGGCGATGGAACAGGGTAATGCCGCAGTGTCATTAATCACAGTCCTGTTCTACTTTTGATTCCAACAGTAACAGTCTACGGTACCGTAACCCGTGCAGTGCTTCTTATCTCTCTTCTCAGTTTTAAATAAAAATTCTCACGCAAATTTCTATTTATATTTTACTGCTTTTAATCACTGGATATCGGAATGTAAAGATTCTTCAGCAAGGGTCGTCGATTCGCGATTGGACTGAGAGACTTTAACAGCGGACGTGACATTTTCCTCGGACGCGAAAACGAAACCAATCTTTACGCGATACCACGTCCACGGACGTAGGTACTCGGTCCAGGAGAAGGGCTGCTTTCTAATTATTCCCCACAGGCCATAAGGGATGACACGTAATTGGAGGGTGGACGAGGAAGCATTGATCCCTAACTGGAAGGGATTCGAGCTCTTCCTTGCTCCGCTTCAGCCACCTTCCTCCTTTCTCTCTCTCTCTCTCTCTCTTTCTCTCCTTCTCTTTCCACTCGCTCGTTTGGCTCTCGAACTCTGGAACACCGAGTGCCGGACCAATGAGCACTGGCCGGCAAAGAAAAGTGATAATGTCTTAAGCCGTTGGTGCGATTTAACTTCCGATTTTAGTCAGAGGGCACATTCTCTTCCCGCGGTCCTTTCTAGGAGTTCGTTGCTCTAAACTCTCCGAGCTTCCCGTGGTCTGAGGAGGGTTTAGGGTTTAAGGAAAGCCCTCTCTCACTCCCGAGATCCTTGCAAGCTCCCGCTAAGCGCTCGCGCTGATCCTGCTCTTCTTCTTCTTCCTGTACCGCCTCTCGGAACCTGGGTTTATCTAATTCGAGTTGTAGCTTCCCGCTATCGCTCTAAACCGTACGGCCTGGCCAGTCGGGGGCTGCCTCTGGAGTCGATTGAAAATATAGTCCCTCTCGATCGCGAGCGATCGGCAAGCGGGCCGGGCTAAGCGTGCCTGTCCATACGAATTCGGCCAGCAACGTGTGCACGCTAGCTTTTGTTACATAAGGGATCGATAAATGTCGTCCAAATATAGCTACGTCCGAATACCTAGCTGCAGCAACGCCGGGTTAAGAATAAACTTTATTCGCCGTATTCGAGGTATTTTATCGCGGCGTTAGCTCCCCGATTCGAGTCGGGCAACTCGGGGAACCGACCTCGCGTAATTCGCCTCGATTACGCTAAAATATAGGGACTTAGAGACAGATGAACGAGTCCGAACTGGGCCTCTCAGCGTTGTAACTCGAGGCAGCGATTATGGAGGAAATTCGCTTGTACGCGATACCATTTCTTACGTAAGTATCGATATCGTTCCAACCCCCCCTCCCCGTTATCGACCTCTCATTTTCTCCACATTCTCTCCACGTTTTCGCCACGTTTTATTCTCGGCATAGCGAGAAAATTCGCGAGGAAAATTCGAGAAGAAATCAGGCGTTTAGCCGAATTATAACGAGGCCTCTTTAAACGCGGCGCGTCACGAGCGCCGTTCCGGGTAATCAGAAGTAAATACAGCGACGATCACGGAGTTTAATTCTAATTGAATTTGACGTTGCTCGTTACCAGAGGCACACCCGGCTGAATGTAAAAAAGACGGGAGAACAGGAGGTCTCTGGCCGGGGACCAGCATCGCCGGGACTCCTTAAGGCAGCGAAAGAGAACCAGGTAGCACAGGTACGCGTAGATCGCGGCGAGACAGAGCGCGATGGGGTGAGTAGGGGCCGATAGTGGTGGTGGTGGTGGTGGTGGTGGTGGTGGTGGTGGTGGTGGTGGAAGTTAAGATGTGGGTGAATATAAGCGGCCGAAGGTGTACCGGCGCCCGTAACCCAACACAGCGAACACCTCGGTGTGCATCCAGGGGCCGTGTCCCCTACTCCTGCTTGGGGGTGGTGAGGTGAGTGACGGGGGATGTGCTGAGAGGCCGGGAATCGCGTTCCAGCTAAAGCTAAAAGGGGTGGACAGTGCGCAGAACCCGCCCCCACTTTTCGCGGCGAAGCAGAAGCTGCGAGTTGCTCGCGCAAGCCTTCATCCCCTCCGGTCGCTGTGGAAGATCGCCACCCCCGAACGAACTTAAACATAGCACACAGTAGCTCGCGAGCACCCTGCGTGGAAGGGCTTTCCGCGCACTTGTGCGACGCAAAGGCATCCGTCTATATATCGTATCGAGTCGGCGAGCCGACCGAAGCACGCGTGACTGGTGCGTGAACACGCGAGCGAGCGCGCGCGCGCGTGCGTATATCACATCGAGTGCGTGCACGATCGTGGCCGAGAGGTTCCGTGTTACGGCCGATCACACCGGTAATCATAGGACACTGAGAGTACATAAAGGGAGAGAGAAAGGAGAACGGAGTGTGTGGTGGTTCGATCGAAGGAAATACAATCGCCGAAGATCGCAGACGTCTCGACTGGATGGAAAGGGTCCCAGGACTCGAGGTGATGTCCTCGATGGACCTCGACGGCTTTCAGGTGAAGTTTCTTGAGAAAACGAGGTTACTTTAGGCTTTGAATGCACGGTTAATGAGAAAAAGAGAGAGAGAGAAAATAAAAATAAAGGAGGGTAAAAATGAATAGAGATCGGATCGAGAAGATGGGACGGGTGGTGGTCTGAGTTGTTTGGAACTGACAGAGCTACTGTTCCCCAGCTACGGGAATTGGTTTTGTTAGATGTCGAGCGACCTTGAGCGACCAGCTTGCACTCATTGATCAAACTCACTGCATCCATGCATCCGATGAGAGAGCAGATTTCCTGATCCTCTGGAATTTTTGTGTTCCAGGGTGGAACTGACCAGCGTGCCAGGTGGCCAGAATGCGATGGCTCATCTCAAAAAACGGAAGCTGGAAGCAGAATCTGTCAGCCCAAATCCTAAGCAACCACAGCAGCCACAACAACAACAACAGCAGCAGCATGTGGTGGTGGTGGTGGTGGTGGTGGTGGTGGTGGAAGTTAAGATGTGGGTGAATATAAGCGGCCGAAGGTGTACCGGCGCCCGTAACCCAACACAGCGAACACCTCGGTGTGCATCCAGGGGCCGTGTCCCCTACTCCTGCTTGGGGGTGGTGAGGTGAGTGACGGGGGATGTGCTGAGAGGCCGGGAATCGCGTTCCAGCTAAAGCTAAAAGGGGTGGACAGTGCGCAGAACCCGCCCCCACTTTTCGCGGCGAAGCAGAAGCTGCGAGTTGCTCGCGCAAGCCTTCATCCCCTCCGGTCGCTGTGGAAGATCGCCACCCCCGAACGAACTTAAACATAGCACACAGTAGCTCGCGAGCACCCTGCGTGGAAGGGCTTTCCGCGCACTTGTGCGACGCAAAGGCATCCGTCTATATATCGTATCGAGTCGGCGAGCCGACCGAAGCACGCGTGACTGGTGCGTGAACACGCGAGCGAGCGCGCGCGCGCGTGCGTATATCACATCGAGTGCGTGCACGATCGTGGCCGAGAGGTTCCGTGTTACGGCCGATCACACCGGTAATCATAGGACACTGAGAGTACATAAAGGGAGAGAGAAAGGAGAACGGAGTGTGTGGTGGTTCGATCGAAGGAAATACAATCGCCGAAGATCGCAGACGTCTCGACTGGATGGAAAGGGTCCCAGGACTCGAGGTGATGTCCTCGATGGACCTCGACGGCTTTCAGGTGAAGTTTCTTGAGAAAACGAGGTTACTTTAGGCTTTGAATGCACGGTTAATGAGAAAAAGAGAGAGAGAGAAAATAAAAATAAAGGAGGGTAAAAATGAATAGAGATCGGATCGAGAAGATGGGACGGGTGGTGGTCTGAGTTGTTTGGAACTGACAGAGCTACTGTTCCCCAGCTACGGGAATTGGTTTTGTTAGATGTCGAGCGACCTTGAGCGACCAGCTTGCACTCATTGATCAAACTCACTGCATCCATGCATCCGATGAGAGAGCAGATTTCCTGATCCTCTGGAATTTTTGTGTTCCAGGGTGGAACTGACCAGCGTGCCAGGTGGCCAGAATGCGATGGCTCATCTCAAAAAACGGAAGCTGGAAGCAGAATCTGTCAGCCCAAATCCTAAGCAACCACAGCAGCCACAACAACAACAACAGCAGCAGCATTATCAGCAACAGCAACCTTTGATCAACAAGAAGGCTGTTCAAGCGATTATTCCGCAAGAAATGGAGACAGCTGATGCTGCTGCTAAACGAAGAAGAAAAAGCGTCCGCGACGATGAAACGCGCAAATCGCTCGACGCCAATGACTCGAACAAGAACATACCTCTGCCCCAAAAGAAACGAGCGTTCGCTGCTGGAAACTCGGGTAGCCCTGCGAGAAAGTCGAGTAAACACTCGGAGGAACCCGAGGACGATGAGACTCTGATCAGGGAAACCGAGGCTGCTCTGAAAAGCCTGTCGGGAAGTTGGCCCGGTCCGAGGGGCTCCTTGTATCAACGGGGTAACTCGGACGAGGATAAATACGAGTCGAATTTCGAGAACCTGTTCGAAGAGAAGAAGGACAACCCCAAGTTGTCGCCTTCTTCCATGTCCACTTCCTCCACGACCAGCAACGACGCGGGTTGTTCCCTGAAAGACGTGATAACGTTCCGCGGCCAGCAGGACAGGAGCAGCAGATCTCAGCTGCAGCTGAAGCAACAAGACGCGACGAAGCAGCAGCAGCACGCGAGCAAAGTGAAGAAGGACTTGGACAGCTTGTTAAAATCCGAAAGCGAGTGCGGTATGATTCAGAACCAAGTGAACAACGTGACCGTGACCGAGGCAGGTAAAATCAGAGCAGTGCCGGTGAGGTCCTTGTCCAACAAGGACAGGAACGACAGGAGTATGATCGGTACTCACGTGGACGCTCAAGGTCGTCAGACGGACAAGTACTCCAGATACGATCCACCGGATTTCAACGAGCTGGTCGACGACTCCTCCAACGAATTGGAGATAGACATGTCCGACCCGTCAGCGGAGAAGGACGACGCTGACAGGGACAAGATGAACGACAGGGACAGGGATCGGACGTGTAGAAACGGTCAGTCGCCGCAAAATCCCTCGAGGCACCAGCAGCACCAACATCACCAACAATTGTACGCCAACTATCACAGACAGTTCACCGAGAATGGCATGAAGGTCTCGCCGACCGCCTCCACCGCCTCCTCTTCTTCACCCCCGTCGAATTCTCCGTTCTCCGCAACGTCGGCGTTCAGACCACCCAACACGGACCACGCGAAAGCGACTGGCCGCGGTACACCGTCAGTGGCCTCGACGACGATTCCACCTATCGGCCCGTACCCAGCATCCGCTACGTTTGTCGGCTACCCCACTGCTGGGCCAGGTCCGGCTATGCCTACGCCGCAACCTGTTACCGGAATCTCACCCGCGACCGAGGACAAGCACTCCGCGTCGGTGTCGTTGTTACAGTTGAAATCGTCGAAGGAAGAGGTTCATCACGTGACGAGGCACGAGGTGCCACCGAACACCGTGACAGGCAACAAGAGTCCCACCGGTGGCCTGCCAGCGGTCACCAGCCCTGACTCCTCCAAACAGTATACGATCCTTCAGCCAGCTGGTATCGGCTCCAGGGCAGCCAGTGCGATTCAGGACATAGCCAGGGATGGAGTGGTCAGTGTGACAGCTGTCAGTAGTTGTAGCACGACCAACGGTAGCACGACGAACGGCATCAGTGGCAACAGTAACGGTGGAACGTGTGGCAGCAACGTAGCTAGCAAAACTACGAACAGCAACGGTAGTGGTAACGCGAGCGGCACTGCCAATCCGGTCAGCAATGGCAACGGGAACAATGTGACGAACAGTATAGCTATCACGGCAGTTTCCACTACCACGACGACGTCCAGTCCCTCGACTGGTGCCGACGCGTCATCCGGCACTGGCAAGGTTCAGCAAGACAGCGTGATGAAAATGCCGGAAAGGCCTGTTACCTTCGACGGCAATAGACCAGGAATGTCCATGTCTCCGTCCAGTCTCAGCAGAGGTGAGAGTTTCATGTCCTATTTCGATCGAGGATCCCGATCTTTCTCGTTCTTTTACGATCTCGCGAGAGATCTTTCTTTCAACACCGAGTACCTACGTAAGTCGTCTAGGTGCCATTCGACTCGCGTGTCCCGTCGAGACTTTAACGACTGCAGCTACGGGCAACGTTTCGAGTAACCTGTCCCGATCCTCCGACGAGGATTTCATCGATCGACCGAGATAAATCGTGGTCGAAGAGAAACGCGAAATCATCGACGAGGCTAACGAACGTGCTAGTGGTAGGGTTATCGTTTGTGCGTTATCCGCTGGGCAGATAGAGGGGGACAAAAGGCATTTTCGACTCTCCCGCGTACAGTACTCTTCTCCTACTGTCGGTCTTCTTCTGTCACACTCTCTCCTGCTTTCTCTATGAAGTTAGGGGAGTTAGGGTAGCACGGAAAATCAATAATTACGAAGCGAGGGGCGATGACTCAAATGGTGAAATCAAGGTCTCTCAAAGTAAAGTTATTCTCCGTATCCTCTGCTACAGCCACTTTGTCTTCGTCTTTGGCTCAGCTTCGAAACTATTCGCTTGATCACGGGAACGTCGCGATGATCGTAAAGACTCGGAGCACGCGGGCAAACTTGCACCTATTAGACGCACTCGAGCACGTGCCTTTTAGAGTCCCAGCTATAAGCTGGAGTTTACGTCCTCGTCTGACTCTTTCTGTATCGCTTCTCCTTTTTCAAACTTCTTTCCCAATTCCACTTACCTCGATCGTTTTCTTACTTCGACATCAACTTCCATGGGACTCGCTGTCCAAATAGAAGCGTAGTCAAAGAATTCTGACATATTTGACAAATCGTTTGACAATTACGTATTAGCACCGTAACGTAATCATTTTTCCGTAACTTCGGATAATGATAGAATTTCTGACTTCCATTTTAGAAGAATACGATAAAATAAGTATACGTGTTAGCGAAATTGAGATACTCGACTAAACGGGATCAGAGAGATCGATCATAGCGATCGTTTCGATCAGCGACGACGAAAAATCAAGGAAAATTTGCCGCACGCCAGCGGGGAAACATTCCACGGTGTGACAGGTGGGAGTTCGAGTGCATTCCAGGGTCTTAGGGCAGCGACGACACGATGTGCCTAGACGGGGAAATTTGGGGTTGATACCACGTCATACGTATAAGCCGCAGCTGTCAGCAGCTAGAAACGTGACTAGCATCCCAGCCACACCACGCTACCTTATTACCACCATGTGGCTCTGCTGCCTGTCCTCATTATCCCCTTAGCGTTTTCTCCGACTGAAGCTGCGAAGACGAACAGTTGAAAAATTCAATCTTCGTCGTTTCGAGCTTTCTGTAAATTGGCTCGGATGGCTCGGCTATGGCGAGCTGATTTCCCGTCTAATTTCGTTAGTCTCTTAACATTATCTAAACGAAACAGTGCAAGGATTGCCAAAATCCTTCCGCGATGAACCCGAAGGTTTGCAACTTTCCGCGCATATTTATTCTACACCGGATGGTATAAACACGGAATTATTTTTACATAGACAAACTCGATACAAAGTTTATCAACTAAGAATTTATAATTATGGAACAGGAAGTACTTTGCCAAGTTTCCGAGGCTTCTATTCAACCCCTAAACTTGATACTCGCTGCCCCCGTAGTCGATTCGAAAATAAATGAACCTCCGAACGAATTAAATTGAGGAATTTCGTTAGGCGAATTAACATGGACGAGCACCTGACTCGAAGCGAAAATATTTGCGCAAAGGGAAACTTGTAACGCGACTTGCAACGTTTACCTTCGAGAAATTTCTGCCGCACCTGTCAATCTTAGCGGGCGGTCGATTATTAAAAGATCCGGAGGCACCGATAGGCCGGGCAATCCAGCTCGACGGAAATCTCGGTGAATAAACGCGGGGCCGTGATAAGTGGGCACGATTAATCGCATACTTACAAGCGTGACGGCGGTACAGGCGTGCCGGACCCTACGGAGCTATAGTTTTAATCGCAGGCTCGTTCGCCTGTGCCATTCTCGCCGCTCGTTCCCCGCTGCCTTCGATCTAGCGACCGGATCGCGTGCACGTCCTGCCTTTTTCTATTCTGTCCCTTTCCCATTCTCTTTTCTTCTCTCTTTTCTTCCTTTTTTCTTTTTTTAAATATTTTCTCCTTTTTACCCAACACACACACACACACACAGACATACACCGGCGACACACACGGGGCACGGCGTAAGAGCGTGTTGACACGCCATAAAACCGCTATCGGGAAATCCGTCGGCCGCAAAAACCACCCTTTCCGCGTTGAAACCGCGCGGCAGGCAGGGTTGGCCTGGCTAATAAAAAAATAAACTGCCCTGTAACTCAATTTTACGCTGCCTTTGCGACCGCACGCATAAAAAGGACCTTTACTCGCGCGCAGGGGCTCTACCCTCGCGTTACGGCCAAGCGCCGCCGTGTGTAAATACGTATACCTCGTGATTGTTCCCTGGGCTGTTCTCTTTTTTTAGAATCTTTCGTCTTCTACTTCGCGCCCTTTAAGATCTCCTTCTTACGTCGACCGTGTCTGCCGGAGAGAATCGGCGGCCGCATCGATCACCGCGTAACCGCGTCAAGCCGACCCTGCTCGATCGCTATTCCGTCGAATGTCATGCCCATTTTTATCCGGCGACATCGTTTATCCTTGCACGAGCGTGCAACGGGTATATCGAACGGGTTAACAGGCACGTGAAGATGTTTTTCTTACGCCACCTCCGTACGACGATTAAAAGAAGCCGGCAAAGGCACCCCAGTATCGGGTCGATTAAAATAAATACGCGCCTATTTATTCGCGCTCGCCTTGCGTGGACATTTAAATCCGTCCATCGATTGATCACGAATATACTCGAATGGAACGCGGCTCGCAATTCCTGCCCATCACGCTATCGTCCGATTTCGACACGGTGCTCGCGCGATCGCGAAGGGACGAAAGAAGGAGCGAGGAAAGGGAGAGTGGAAGAGGGGCGGAAAGGGACAAGAGGAAAGAATTCGGCACGCGTCGTGCAGCGGGCCGAATGAATAAAACAATCCTGGTGTTTATGTACACCTCTGGACCTCCCGTGGTGACCCTCACGTGAAATGGCAACAAAATAACACAATTACACACTCGGCCACGGCCTCACCCTCGCCTGCCCTCTGCTCATCCTCGTTCTCACCCCTTGGACCCCGCTCTTTCCTCTTCTCCCTCTCACCCTCTCTCGCCAGCCCGCCACGGGATCCCATGGCAGAGAACGCGGTGGAAGAGGAAAAAAGAAGAGCTGCCTGGCTGACCGACTCGTTACAAGTCTATTCAGAGATCCGGAAAGAACAGCGCGTGCCGGTATTCATTTTGTTGACCGGAACCATTATCTGCCCCTTCGTTCCTTTTTCTTCCCCGTTTCTCGCCGTCCGTTTCTTCCTTTCCCTTTACAACGCAGCTTAGGCACCACCGGCCAACCGCTTTAAAACCTTACGGCTAATTTATTAATCCCGCCGGCGGCCAACCGCCACCCTTCGCCGTTTTTCAGCCCCGTCGCTAATTAAAAAGCACGGAATACCGTTCGTAAGCCGTTCCTTCGCCGATCCAAGCCTACCGTTCGTTATTTCTTCATTAGTCACGCATGTTTTTCCGCTATCGCTAAGATGTTGTCATCGATAGTTGGTTGGCGATTGCGCTGGTTGGAAGGGTCGAGTTTAATCGAGGTTCGGGATAATTCGGAATTATTTAAGAGAGAATAGGTGGAATAGAACGTAAAGAAACTTCATACTGTGGAAGTTTAATGCTATTTAGGTTACAAGCGGTGGAGGATGGATATAGCTGGTGGATCAGTGGCTTCAGCTGTGTCTGACTCTTGACGGATACTGCTACTCGGAGTACACGGGAGTATCGGCGGAAGACGCGTGAACTATTTAACGTTGAACTACTCGCAGTGGGTTGGAGAATAATATATATATATAAATTTTAGCGAGGAAAATAGGCGTACAGTGTAATGCCTACATTTTTATGCCTTCGAAATAATAAAATATCGATGTGTTCTACTTCGTAGAACAATCCGTTTACTACTTTATAAACCACGATCTAAATATGATTGTCAGAGATTTAACCCTTTGCGCTCGACGACTTTTTCGTTACAGAGAAATTGTAATTCGAAGACTTTCTGTCACAGAGTCGACGATATTTTTAAAATTGTAAATGAGAAATCGTACGCAAATTAAGACGTAGAATTATTTTTCTTCGACATTCCACGCATCGTTAGGTAATTTTAAATTTCATACATTAATTAACGTCGATCTTTCGAATCTGATTAAATGGTGACTGAGAGTCACCTCTCGAGTGCAAAGGGTTAATAAATATTATTCAATCTCTGTCCAAGATCAGTATATTTTATGCATTAATAACTGTATCCTAATATTTTGCAGAAAAATATTTTTCTAACCCTAATAAATTTACCCCTAAGGAGAAAAGAAAAAGAAACAGGATCGAAGAATTCTCGAAATTAATTTCCCTCTATCTAACAATAGATAGGAAACCGTTCAAACCGAGCAGTCTCCTCGCAGGTTTCTCGTATAACCACACTCCATTCGTAATAATACGTGTCATTAAAAACACATACCATTTCCGTAGTGCCAGACATTTTTCCATTTGCACGAGACCACTGTTTCAACCGTTCAAAAGGTAGCCCCATTCTCGATTCAAAAGCGAGATTTACACATTTTTCCTTCCATTAATATCCACTCGCCCGGAATTTCTTGTCCCGACGCGAGGCTACTTCGTTTCTGATTCCGCGAATAAAGTATGTCGCTAATGGCATCACGTATCGTGATCCAATTTACCAGGAAGGTGGACCAGCGAGTCTAAGCAGGGATCGACCGGGCCCCTCTCTTTCTCGAACGCGAAATGACGGCCTGATGAAGTTTCTCGCCGTCATGGCGGCTGTTTCGTGGGTCGAGCGTAGTCGGCCAAGGGATCCGAGTCAGAGGAGGATTAGTACACGACGAAGTTTATAAAAGTGTACTCACTCCATGGGAAACCCCCGCAACTAACCTAAAGCTGGCCTTCCCTTAAGGCTCGTCCCTTGGAATCCCTCGGTCCCCCTCGCACGCACCTATGGCACGTCGGAATGAAACTTTCAGGCTTAAGAATCGCCGAATCGATCTTATCGTTTGATCAGGGTGGACCGAAATGAACTGGAACGCGTCAAACGATACGCGAGAGCTCGTTAAACTCTTCCAGGACGGATCAACGTCTCGCGGAATCTTTCCGAGATTAGACAAGGTGTCGATGAAGGAGGATTTACCTAAATTTCAAGCGAAATCGGCTCAGCTGGTTCTAAATCTTTATCGTTATTTTCGAGCAGCTTTTACCCCGATTCGCGGAATGGCGATAAACGATTTTCGTTCTCAGGTATTACGTACGCTAATCGAAAGGAATTATCTGATCGCGTAAAGGGTAAACGTGCACGGGAACAAGCTCGCGGAAGAAACTTCGCCGATCACGAGGTGACACGATCTTCGGGGTGTGTGTGTGTATCAAAGATTGCAAATTGCAGCGTGCAGTAAACTCTGTCCGAGAGCTGCGGTTTGCGAGGAGTGTTAACTAGGAAGAAAAGCGACGCTCAGGACGAACCCATTACGCGTATCGCGCTGCCTGATTATTCGGATTATAGTTTTTATCGAGGCCAGGCCACCGTGACACGTGGTCTAATCTCGCGGTGGCCGTCGTAAAAAAGAATTATTCAGCGAAAGTTGTTATAATCAACATCGCGCTGGAAGCGAAAGGGCCGAGTAGACGGTCTCATCCTAAGCGATTGGTACTTCTGGGCTGCATAGAGCGTACTGGAAACCTGTAATTGTCTGGTCACGCGAGGTCACCCTGAGAACACGAACACGATTATACGTGACGTGCACCATACCAGCCATTAAGTTACAGCCAGTACACGACAGATGGTACAGGTTGCTTGAGCATGCCCCCGATGCAATTTCGTGACAGCGGCAAGAATAGCGGAAATCGAGGGGGGAAAATAGAAGTGAAAAAAAAAAAAAGAATTCCTCAAAGTTTCCGAACATTAATTTCACCACCAGCGACGCGTCGTTGCTGGACAATAACGGGTTATTCGATGACGAATTAATTCGAATCGAAAGAGGTCGCTTGCTGGCGAAGAATCCTCGTACTTTCTATTACCTCTGTGCATCGATGGCTGGCGTGAGTCGAGGACGAAATATAAAGATAAAATTAAATTTCAGAAATAGAATTTCCATGGAATGCCTTAATGAGACACGCGGTATCGTTGAAAAGATAGTGGGTCATTTGATTCGTGGATGACGTTTGATTCGACGTCAATTAACTCGTATCGAAGGATTTCTTCAGGTTTGAGTCGAAGAGTCCTCGTAGTATTCGTCGTTTCTGTAGACCACTGGTCGACCACATAATTTGGCAGCAGGTTTAGTACACAAAGTCGTTGCGTGGAAGACTGACGCTTTCGTTCCGCGATGAACAACGATAACGCGAGCTCGCTTGTTTCTCGTTTCATGGGCAAGTTTAGGTCGAACGTATACCTAGTGCTAATCCCCGAGGCTTAGATGCGGGACAGAGAAATCCCGGTGGTAATTCGCAAATGCGTAGCCCGTGCGACAAGATCCGAGGTATCACAGTTGGCCACAGCCTGTCCGTTTTCATTTAAACTTTCCCGCTGAAATTTTAAACCGTCATCTTTGCCTTAAATTGCCAGCAACCACCGAGAAATTAAAATTTCAAATATGTACGCTTTATCCTTCACCGGGATTTATTACTCTTCTCAGCAATATTTCTCCTCCGTGTGAAAATTAAAATTACATTTATTTCTTTCTTCCCGGCTTATCGAAGGAGAATGCTATTTTCCAAATTGTACATCTAGGGAAAGTACGACAATTAGAGAGGCTAACAATACGCCTGTCTATTTTCCTACGAGTTCAATGCACCGAGCAAGGAGTATAAAGTATACATGAATATTGACAAACGGGAAATAAAACGCATTCTGCGATGGTGTGTCGGCTGAAAGTACACCACGATGTCAGACATAACAGTTGTTATGTGTTGTATGCTAATTTTCATCGAATTCCATAATGTCTCCCACTGAGTTCCTTCATCTTCTCCTGAACGAATTTACCAAGAATTCCACTTCTATCGATTACCGATTCTTCTAGAGAATTTTTACAGATGCACGAGCTGTCAAAAAGAACAAGAACAGAGTATAGTACGATTTGTAACTAGCGTGTAAAGGGGCTGATAAATATGCGAACGAAGGACACTCGGTTTCAAGTGTTGGAGGTGTGAAAAGAGGGTACTTAGTCCTCGAGATTATGGCGCAAACGAAGGGTGCACTGTTGCCCAAGGGTTCGACTAGTCTCTCCCGAATGTCTCTGAGAACGAGCAGTTGACAGCAGTTTGGTGTCGGAATCTTTTATTACAATTACTCTATCGTCGTTTCATCCCTAAATTCAGTTGACCTGTCACGAATGAAGATACTGCACTGCGTCAACGTCTCCTAACCTCCAAAGGACCAACGGAACAATTCGTCTAGTGCATCCAATTGATCGCTAATGACACGGAACGAGGCAGCCCGATGCATCGTTGCTCGATGCATGTCAGAGTTAAAACGTAACGCTTATTTTGTCAAGCAGCAGCAAATACGCGCATTCAGGGGCAGTCGACAATAAGAATTATCGCGAGACCGGTGTCGAGGGAGAGAGGTTTCATTTTCCTCGCGCAGAAAGACCGCGCCTTGTCAACAGACCGGTGTGCTCGCTTAAAATATTGATTCTCGGTGGTGGTTCCATTGCCAAAGCGAAAGTGAATGTCCGTACACTCGCGGGTCCAACGTCCGCGTTACAAAAACGGACGTAACAATACTTTGCCGGTATGTCGGACCGTGGCTGTCACGTCTCGACCGTCGATTTCAGCCGACAGACCAGCGGCGTGGATACGTAATTTATCCGCAATCAAACGTGCTTGTCGCGGTCGTTAAATTCAGCTGGCAGTGCCGATGGACCGATGGCCGAAGGACGAGTTCCATGTTTGTTCCTGGTATCACAATTACGCGCCGCGTAATCGATATTAATTAAACGGCACAATGCGATCGATTCGAAATGGCCGAGCCACTCGGAATTCACACGCTCTATCGTTGACAGCTCCCATCAGCTGATCACAATTGCGCTCCAACAATCGTTCGAGGTTTTCAGACCGTGAACTGTCAATGCAACCGATATCTTCCTCGCTTCTGGCGACTCGAATCGCGTTAACGATCTCTCGCTGTCAAGCGCGCGATTGAGGATGCTGCCAATTAGACGTATAGGTGGAGAATTCGAGGAGCGAACGATTGCTAAATTTTGGAGCGTTTGATTTCGATCTTCACCGATCCGAAATTGAGTAATTCTTTGTTATTCGCGATGATGTTCGCGTTATGCAGTCTCTGCGAGTATATAAACGACGCGATACGCGATGCAATTGTACGATGACCGGGAAGCATACGAAATCTAACTGTTCGGCGTGGTTTGATTTGTTACAGAGGGCAACAAGTGCCCGACCCCAGGCTGCACGGGGCAGGGTCACGTGACCGGACTCTACTCTCACCACCGCAGGTAAGCAATTATCGGTAATTAACCTGTGCTCTGCACTTTGCCCTGCTCTATTAGACACCTACGCTAGGGCGACCCGAATGGGACTGACACTAGCTGACCTATTCGACGTATCGGATCATCCTCGAGTACGCGTTAGAAGATATACTCGGCTCATCTCGTGTACAGACACGCGTAGAGTATATTTTCCTCGAACACTTTTACGAATACTCGAGAAAATCCGAGACGAAATTCTGGCTTCCCGACGAAGCACCGAATGATACGCCAATGGCTGCCAAAAATTCCCAAGCACGGTCTATTATTCTTCTATCGAGACGACTCGTTCTTGCCAGTAGAAGCCCACTAATTACCGTATAAGCGTGACTTATGAAATACAACATCATTAATTTCCCCCGCTTTGAGTACGACCATTAAGCCAACAACTTTCCAAGAGATAATTACTAGGTTATCTCTGGAAAAGAGCTACTGCCGTGTCTCACGATTCACTGCTGTGATTTCAGCCTATCCGGTTGTCCACGGAAGGATAAACTGACGCCAGAGAGTAAGTAGTCGCCGACCGGCACCATTATTCCTACTTCTTATCGTAGTTGACATAGATGCATCTTCTTTTTGCGACAACTGCCTTTTTCACGCGAGCGCGGGCCAGGGGAGTGACGAGTGAACGAGCGTGAACGGTACTTATTTTCCAGCGGTAGCGCGTTTCTGCTCAATCACGATCTCGGGAACACGCGCGACGAATCTCGACATTCCGATTTCGCGACGACAACGCGCCGATTCTCCGCGCACCCGCGAGAGGGTGCTCCGCGACGACCACGACGACGCCCGCGCCATCTCTCGGGGCACCGATCCGCGACACGAATTTATCGATTGACGAAACTGTACTCACGATCTCTCGTGTATACTTGCGACGATTCGAAGCGCCACGGGCTCGCTGCACCGTGCCCGTCTATGTGTGTCTATGTGTCTGTCTGTTTTATATTCTTTGTGCTTTTCGTTTGCGGGGTAGAGAGCTTTATTTATTGCGTTTCACTTCCGTTCTTAATTTTCTCGTTCTGTTCGTAGTTTAATTATAGTAGAGAATTATCACCACACTCGAACTTGGTTTACGTTGGCCGTACCTACGAACATCTGGAGAACTCGAGACACGTGCTGCGCGAGGCTAGCAAGGCCGGTATGCGTGTGCGCGCACACGCCGGAATCGGACGGTGGATCTTGTGCGATTGAGTATAATTGAAACGGCGATCGACACACTCTTGTGACACGGTTCCATTTATCGACAAACCCCACGCTCGTCGACCGATCAGGTACAGCACACGAGGGTCCCCCCCAGCGTGATCGAGACGGTGAAAGGGCGATCATGGATCTTGGAACACGTAGTTGTCCCGTCACACGACACGAAGAGAATACACGTAACGTGTGTGTCTCTTGTCGAAACACACGATTTTCACGTCAGACTTAAATTCTATCTGATCGATTTTATCATTTGCATTCTTTAATGGAGGCTCGAGATTTCACGCATTATCATTCTCACGATAGGGATCACCTGACAAATGTTTGACACATTCAGTAAATCAGTTTGTATGAGATAGTAGATACTCTATGCACGGCGTCTGTCACACGAGAGACCAGTCATCCCCCTGTTACACGAACACACGGCAGAACCCCATCCGGGACACACAAGAACCGCAAGTTGTTGTCTTATAATTTTGTCACACGATTTTGTCTTTACTTGAGTTTCTCTCTACCCGCTCGGTATACTTGATTGTACTATTACACATATGATTTGTATATTTCATCCCGTGACGTTGTGCAACCCCATCTGTCTATCTGATCTCTCTCTCTGTCTTTCTCTGTCTTTCTTCCTTTATTTTTCGTTCTCTCCTCTGTCTATCTTTCTCTGTATACTTACTATACACAACATCTCGAACTCGGGTGTGAATATCGGGTGGAGGTCGAAGCCGCGAGATCCGCGTCAGAAAGGGACGAACCGTGTCGCCGAGAATTATGATAATTATACTCAACGCATAAGAGGGAACCGAGCTTGAAGGATCTTTGATCCGAGGCAGCTCGATTCGACCGATCGTACCTCGGTGTGCGTGTAAACGTGTGCATGGTGTGATAGGAAAAGAGGAGATATCTCAGAGGGTATAAGGAAAGTAAAAATTAGAAAAATGCGAGGGAAGGTGTAGCAGCGTTCTATAACCACGCCACGTGTCTCTGGGTTCTCTGCAGTTCTGGCGATGCATGAGACTATTTTGAAATGCCCGACGCCTGGTTGCAACGGCCGTGGCCATGTCAGCTCGAATCGGAACACGCACAGGAGCCTGTCCGGATGTCCCATTGCCGCGGCCAATAAGCAGGCCGCACGCGAGGCACGACACAAGGCTCAAGGTAAGGCGGCACAGCAGCCCTCCAACGTGCCTGGAATTCCACCGACGAACAGCCCCGTGAAATCCGATCGGCAGCCTAAGCTTCTCGATCCGTCGCGAAAGTAATCCACGAATCGTTTCTCGATAGTTCTCGATAGTTCTCGATGGAGCGAACGTAGGCACTTCTCTGCTTCTTTCGGACCCAGCGTTTGAGGGTATAAGACATGTCCTCTTGGGTCACTTTGGTGCTTTCCCCTGAGAAATCTGACGGTAGGATTTAATTCGTGAACGATACACGGGACCCGTTATAGGGAGTCCTAATTTGCAAATGCTATGGTTCGTGGAGAAGCGTCGAAGTGTCGAATAATTCGCTATGTCGCGATGTTTGGAATTTAAAGAGAACGATTTTTGCAGAAGCATCGTTGCTATAATTACTCGTAGTTCGCAGCGAGTGGTGATATATTCTGTAGTAGTTACCGCTTCTCTGGTACCCCCTTTCACTCACTAGAAGCATGTCACTTGCGTCGAACTTTGGTTCGCATCAGCATGTACCTTAATCGGCTAGCGAGCGAAGCCAAGCGGAAATCAGATTTCTCCTCGACTTTGACACCAACGCAGAATACAAGACCATTATTATGTTCTCGCAACAGTGTCCGGAATTCCTCCAGAATACATCAGTACGAACCTGTTGCCACCGTCGATGGATAGCAAGAGCTACTCTCAGTACGGGTCCACGGCGCAGGACACTAAACCGGTGCTAAGCAGCCTGACCTACGACTACTACGCGACAACGAAGAGTACAGGGATCAACGTGAAACCGCCGAAAACGCCAGAGGAGAACCCGACGTCTCGCACGAGCAAGGTAGTCCCGAAAACCGAGAGTATGACACCGAGTGGCAGTTGCTGCAACAGCCTGCCTACCAGAGGTCAAAGCACGTCCGACTTGCTGGTACCTAAAACGGAAGAGACAGCGTCCTGCCGAGTGAATTCACCGCCACCACCCCCGCCACCTACCGTGCGACCGACCTACGACTCGTACATGAACCAAGACTCGAACTCGTCGTCGTTGTCCTCGATGGACGCCATGGGCTCCAGGGGATCCATCGGCGCGACGATACATCATCCCAGCCAACACGCGACGCATCACGTCCTGCCGATGCAGCCCACGGTCGCTTATCCCATGCCGATGGTGGAGGACACCAGGATGAGCCACCAGATGTCGCAGAGGTCTCCTTACGAGCCATCGGCCATGATGGCCGCAGCGGCGGCGGCGGCTGCTGCGGCCACCACCAGCGAGGAACTCTATCATCACAGATCGGCGGAGCACGCGAGGGCCTACATGCATCCCGGAACAAGCAACATCGCGCGACCGGTTGTCACTTATTCCAATGACATCGCCACCGCGAGAGGTTACGAGAACGCTGTAGCCAGCGCAGCTAATCATCGGCCGTACGACCCTGGCACCACGTCCGCTTACGAAAGATACGACACCCAGAGTTGTGCACCTATCCAGTCGCAGCAGCAGCAACAGCAGCAGCAGCAACAACAGCAGCAGCAGCAACAGCTACATTCGAGGACGAATATGTATTATCTGGGACAGGCAGGAATGACGCCTGAGGAGCAGGAACGGGTGTACCATCAGGAGGCTGCGGCTGCCGCGCAGCAGCATCAGATGGCGATGGCCGCTGCTACAGCTGCCGGCATGATGAAGACCGAGGATGGTGAGTTCTTTTTCGCAAATTTTCACAGGAGACGCGTAATTTATCCATCGTGTCTCTGTTGTTACAGTGAAGTGCGTCACAGTGGCGCAGGTCCAGCAGATGCAGAAACCCGGTGGTCCTCCAACCTCGCCAGGTGGCTCGGTAATGGACCTGTCAACCTCCAGTGTCACGTCGACCAGCCCACAGGTACACGTTTATTTAGGAAGCTTCCGAATCTTATCTCGTGTAAGAGATAACATCGTTCCATAGTTTCTCACGAAATCGTAACGATTGTCATTACAGGCGCCACCCTACGGTTCCAACAGCCTTAGTCCGCAATATGGCGGCGGTCAGACAGTGGGTGGCAGTCCTCAAGCTGCAGCCAGCCCGCACTTGACCGCGAGTCCTCAGGTTCCCAGCCCGCAGGGACAGACCCTCGATCTCAGCGTGAACAGGCTTCACAGGTAACACTGTTCAGTATGAATTTTAATCTGTAATATCTATTAGATTATAGATCGATAGAGTTTACTTTCCTAAATACGAATTCACAAGCCTCGGTTTTCGAAAATTATGGGGTTTTCTAAGAAGCCACGATTTTTTGATAAAGTCAAGTATTACATAGAGAGTAAGAATATTAGATGAACCATTCTTGACTTAAAAGATAGGCGAGAATATCCTGTGATTATCACTGTCCATAATTATAATTATTTGTGCCTTTGGATAATTGTAATTGGTCATCAAAATGTAAAAACAAGCCAGGTATTTGTGTGCGTTTATGCGAAAAGTTCTTTATCTGACACGAATTTGGTACAAAGTTTTGTTATTAAATAAACCAAATAGAACCCTAATGCAATCCGTTGATACCTACAATAAGATAGACAAGGATAAAGCATCAAGGGATATTCGGTCAGTGCCATCTATTATTTTGAGGTCGTCGAAACGTCGTAATGCAACAGACAAGAACAGACAGTGGTTAGAAAAGGATAGATGCAATTTGTCAGTGAAAAATCACAAATTGTCAAGATTTTGTAATTAATTCGTGAACTTTTATAGATGCATCGTAAAGCTGGAACTATAAGTAACATTCCTACATAATTTTCGTAAATAATTTCATACAAATTAGGTCGATATTAATAATTATTTGACGGCGTGCGTGATTTGGTAATAACAATCGTCGTGATTTTTCGTAAATATATTTAATAATCAGCGAAGCTAGAAGTAAAATCTGAAGAAAAATTATATGAAAACATGCACGAGAACATTGCTTTTAGATTGTGTCCGTGAAATACGCAGATTAATTGCACGAAAGATAGTAATTAATGACAAATTGTTAGTATACACATCAATACTTCTTACACTCTGTGCAATGATTATTGATAATTAATTAATTAACGTGAAATTTATATCCAAAATTGAATTAGAAAATTCTTTAAGGGTACTTCTTTACGATGCAATTATGAAAGTTCACAAATTAATCACAGAAACTGCGTAATTTGATAATTAATCCTTTCAAGTCAATCTTGTTATCGTGCTATCATTTTCTAAGGATAGTGCAACGCGTTGATTGGTGCTAATGCCGCCAATCAGATAATCATTCAGTCAGCGTCATCTATAATTTTGGACTGGAACCTCGTGTAGGTAACATGAACACGATACGCGAGGAGGTTGCTGAAAGCTTCCAGTTAAAAATCACGGATGGCGCTGATCGCACGTCTATATTGTTGGCTCTAATGCAGCCGATAAGGTAGGATTTCGATCAGTGCCGTCTATGATTTTGTACTGGAAGCTCGTGAAAGGTAACAGGAGCGCAGAACATGCGTGTAGGTCGTCTTAATGCCGCAGATAAGGACAGATAGTGTTTAGAAAAGGATAGATTCAATTCGGCATTAAGAAATCACAAATTATCAACTTTCTGTAATTAATTCTTGAACTTTTGTAATTGCATCGTAAAAAGGTACCCTTGCAGAATTTTTTGATGCAATTTCAGATATGAAGTTCTCGCTAATTAATTAATTATTAATAATTATTGCACAGAGTGTTAGATCTGTTGGTGCGTATACTAATAATTTGTCATTAATTACTACCTTTGATGCGATTAATTTACATATTACATGAACGCATTCTAAAAGCAATGTTCTCGTGCATTTTTTTCAGATTTTACATCTAGTTTTGCTGCTTATTAAATATTTTTACGAAAAATCACGGCGGTTGTTGTTACAAAATCACGTACACCTTTAAATAATTATTAGTATCGATCTAATTTGCATTAAATTATTTACGAAAATTGTGTAAGAATGTTATCTATACTTCAGGCTTTGCGATGCAACTATAAACGTTCACTAATTAATTACAGAAACTTGGTAATTTGTAAATTCTCACTTTAATTTTCAATTTCATTTTAGCGAAATAATATTAAACGAGCATTCACGCCCTCAGAATATCGACAAATTGTCATTTTTTAAGAATTCTGAGTCTACAAATTTCGAAGCGTTGGCATGAAACCTTCTGCCAATGCTGCGATTTAATATTAGACTAACATAATAATGATAGAAGGTCGTACATTGTCAGAATTCCAAGAATTCTGCGCCTACAGGTTTCGCAGCGTTGGTATGAAACATTCTGCCAATGCTGCGATTGCATATCAGGCGAATAAAACATGACAGGAGGTCGTACACTAACAGAATTCCAAGCAATCTGCGCCTAAAAATTTTGCAGCGTTGGTATGAAAGCTTCTGCCAATGCTGCGATTTAACTATTAGGCGAACATAATGTAAGAAGAGGACGATTGTCGATACAGTTCCAAGAAATCACGTCATTTCCAAGAATTATTTGACAATACTTTTGCAGCCCCCAAAGAAAACTTTGTGGCCAATTTCGCGACTCTGTATCAGGATAACATAATGTGACAGGAGGTCGCTCGCCGAGACAGTTCCAAGCAATGACGTCATTTCCAAGAATTCTCAGACAGTACTTTTGCAACCTTGCCGTAAATTTTTTGGCCGATTTCGCGACTTTGTATCCGGATAACATAATGTGACAGGAGGTCGCTCGCCGAGACAGTTCCAAGCAATGACGTCATTTCCAAGAATTCTCAGACAGTACTTTTGCAACCTTGCCGTAAATTTTTTGGCCGATTTCGCGACTTTGTATCCGGATAACATAATGTGACAGGAGGTCTCACGTGAGTCAATTCCAAGAAAAGACGTCATTTCCAAGAATTCTCGGACAATACTTTAGCAGCCTCGCCGTAAAGTTTCTGGCCGATTTCGCGATTTTGTATCAGGAGAACATGATATGACAGAAGGTCGTTCGCCCAGTCGGTTCCAAGAAATGACGTCATTTCCAAGAATTCTCAGACAGTACTTTTGCAACCTTGCCGTAAATTTTTTGGCCGATTTCGCTACTTTGTATCAGGATAACATAATGTGACAGGAGGTCGCACGTGAGTCAGTTCCAAGAAATGACGTCATTTCCAAGAATTCTCGGACGGTACTTTTGCAACTCGCCGTAAATTTTCTGGCCGATTTCGCGATTTTGTATCAGGAGAACATGATATGACAGGAGTTCGTTCGCCCAGTCAGTTCCAAGAAATGACGTCATTTCCAAGAATTCTAGCCTAGGAAATTTTGCAACGTTTGCACGAAGAAACATACTATAATACATAGTCTACTCACTGCAGGGGATTTTAACTATTTTACATTTTTTCCGCGTAAAGATTAATTTTATACTTACCTTAATTGTACTTACCTTGCAATACTTACCGCAATTTATCTTCATTTACATATTACTTCATCAGATAATGCCTAATCTTTATTTTCAAAGCTCAAAGGGAACATTGAAAATTTAGAAGACATAGGAAATATCTTAAACTTTGTGCGTAGCTCTTAGCTTGGTATCGTCCTCCAGTCTTGGTATCGTTCTCCAAAGAAAAATCTTTGGAGAACGATACCAATTACCAGGTCTCACCACGAGGAGGTGGCTACGCATCGAGACCCGACATGCGCCCTAGTGACGCAGCCTGATGGCGCTACCTGTATCAAAGGCACCCTAATCTAACTTGGAGCGAATTAAGTTAAAATGACTCTACTGACACTTTATTATATTTCGTGTCTTACAAAAGGGGGTTTCGGTTCGATATATTGAAAGTCTACTGTCGTAACGCTAAGATATTTTCAAGTTCCCATAAAAATAGGGAATGAAATATCAAACACGCGAGCTAATAGAAAATCGCGACGCGCCCGAACGAATTCGCGATTATTCGAAAGACCGACTAGCCTAGGCGATGTACTCCCGTGTACAGAGATAACTTCATACCTCGGCACCCTCCCGATCGGGCCTAGCTCAATTCCAGTCACTGTCGCACTCGCCAAGACTTACACGTGGACCAAGGATAGTCCCTGAACCAATGAAACTTCTAGTGTCAAC